CGCGGAGGCGCGGCTCGACGCGGCGCACCCCAGCAGCAGTATCTTCCGAGCCTCCCCGGCGGCAGCACGCTCCGCGCACCTCCCGCACCCGCGCCAGTCCTCCGCCTAACCTCACTCGTCTCGAGGGTGACGGCGGCCCCCCACGTTTGTGCCCGCGCAGGAGTCACGCAACGACCTCCTCCGCGCCCTCCGCGGCACCACACCGCGCGCGCCCCTCCCCACGCAGGGGGCGACGACTCGACCACCAGTGCCGCACTTTGGATACCCAGCTGATCGCCGTCCTGCGCGCGGCCCATGGACGCGGCCGGCCATGTGTTGTCGCTGTGCCGCCGCGGCGAGGTCCGGGACTAGGTCCATAGGACGAGGTCCAGGACGAGGGACCTGGCCGGCCGCTGAGCCGTGACGCTGCGGCGCGAGTTAGCGGCTGCCATGCCGACCAGAAAAGTGAGTGTTTCTTTCTCTCCCTCCCCCCTTCCCCCCTCACGTCACTCGCCGGGCCGCGGGGCCTCTGCGCAGCTCGCCGTAGTGCGCGGTGTGGTGTGGGTGCCTCCCCCCAGCTCCCCCGTGGTTGTTTCGGAAATCGAAGCGCGAATCGGCTCGACTTGTTTGTAATCTGGCGACTAATTCGCGCGGATAACGCGTGTCCTCAACATGACCGCGGGCGAGCGGCGGGGCGGGGCGGGAAATTAGAAAAAGGGGACACCTCGTCCGTCTCGTTTCTTTTTCCAAGTGAAAAGGGCGGTCCGGCGGCGCAGTCACGGGTGGGGTCCAGGGGCGGCCAGCGCTGGCGGCCAGGTGTTGCACAAGCACGCCGGCGTGGACACGCGCTTTAAAAGCCACGGCTGTCGCGACATCCAATCGACGCGGCTACAACGCTCTACAGATCAGCAGGTGATTTAAACGCGGCCCCCCAAAGACTCGGGACACACGGCAGTGACGTATGACAGCGACTGCATTTGCTTGTGACAGTATCCGCCAAACAGAGCGCGGGAAAATGCCGTCAAGTCGTCATCGCGCGAGGCGAGGCGCACCACAGTGAAAAATGACTGGTGAATCGACATTGAAACGTCACCGAACCGCTCTCGAGGTGATGGAATGGACGTCGAAACGATATGTCTTCGTTGTGAATTTCTCATTGGGACGGGAACACTTGAACACGAGGAGGGGCCGGATTGGGAAGGCGGTCTGTCACGACAACGATGTCGGTTGGTCAGAAGTATATTGCGTTGAGTGCGGCGCGTAAAAGAGAAGGATGTCCCAGCCGAAGGCTTTCGGAAACTCCATACATTGGGGCCCACGGCGAGGGTCACGCCACCCTGTGGGACAAGATGCGGTCACCCACGGTGTAGGTCCCAACGCACTCGACGTGATGTTTAAGCTCCAAAATGCCGAAGCACGTTTTGGCGCGGTCTCGAGGAGCCTCGGGAGACTTGGATGCGCTAGTGCAAGGCCGCTGCGCTGCACGAGAGCGCCAAAACCGCGGGGAGTCGAAAGTGTTAACTCAGACCGAGGTGCGGGAGCGCGGGGTGGGAGGG